GTATATATATATATATAAACAACTAAAATATATACGCAAGGTCCAATATGGGGCAAAGAATCAGAGTATACAAAATACACCCAACAATGCTACACTAAAAGCTAAAACAGAAAAATCATCAAAAAGAATAAGCTCCATCTGCCAGCTGCAGACCTGCCTCAATTCATCAACCTAACCCTGCTCTACTCTCATACATAGTATGATCATTGCAATCCAAACCCCATGGAAACAACAAAGGGTAAGCTAGTGAAAAGAATCAACATACATATATGTAAATACATGAATGGTAAACGGCTACAGCTATCAGCACATCATCAGCATACAACTCATCACATATACAACATAAACAGCAGTAAACACACAATGCGTCGTCACACATATCAGCTAGATTTGGTCGCTTGTAAGCGGTATAGCTCGTCCTTGCCCCTATACCATGGTCGCTTCGTACACGTGTGCCTTGACCTTGCCCACACACGAGACCAACTAAGTACTTAGAGGAGAACATCATAATGACCACTCCAAGGATCAGCTTCCCAGGGAGGGTTTTTAACAAATTTGGGCTCTAAGAGCACCACAGCTACCTCAATCCACACCATGGGATGAGAAATTTCGCAAACATCTCCTCTAGTCTTAGTGATCAACAGCTTAACCTTACGACCTACAACAGCTCAGCCTTACAGCCTACAACAGCTCAGCAGCCTTACGGCCTACAACAGCTCAGCCTTACGACCAACAACAGCTCAACCTTACGGCCTACAACAGTTTATATCATCATCCAGCACAACACAACACACAACAATAACATCATATAACACAACTTATACATCAGAGTTCAACATTAATAATTTACAACACAACAATATTATCATTCAGCTCAAGAATCTTCATCAATAACATCTCAGCTCAACATATATCAACATTTCACACATTTATCAGCATATACAAAACCATCACACCCGCGCCTGGCGCACTCAAGGTCGCGCCCGACGTGGCCCAACCAGAGAGTACCAGAGCTAAAACGTGCCCGGTTCAATACCAATTGCGCCCGGCATGTTAGGAGGTAGAGACTCCAAAGAGCCTCACACGCCCGACATGCCAAACCCGTGCTCGGTGTAAGGTAGACAGAGACCTCCCCAAGGTCTCACGCCCGGCGCAATACCAATTGCGCCTGGCACCACCTCTAGCAGAGACTCCTAAGGAGTCTCCTCGCCCGGCAAGACGTGGTCACGCCCGGCGCCACACCAGAATCCCAAAATGCCAAGTTACTTCCTGATATCGCGCCCAACATGGTCCAACCATGCCCGTCGTGAGCCATCTAGGGGAATCCATTCTCCAGCTCGCCCGGCGCACACCACTTGCGCTCGGCGGGCTCGACCAATGGAGCCCTCTGATGGTCACGCGCTCGGCGCCAAGAACTGTGCCCAGCGTGATACCAAATAGCAACTTTCCAAGCTCAAAAATTTCCTTTAAAACCTGCAAAAAATCAGCACCCCAAGCACATGCAATCGGCCCAAAACATCACAGTTTCATCAAACAACCCAAAAATCCCAGCTTTTCCAACATGCATCCATCAACCACCAAACCCCCAAATTTCCTCAAAACCCCGAAAACCCCTAAATTGAATTTTCATCACAATAGCTCATCAATCATCATAAAATCAGCCACACTATGAGTTTATGAACTCATTTCCAACAAAATCAGCCAAAAACCTAGCTTCCCTTACCTGGGTGAAGAAATCCGAGCTCTGGGAAGAAGAAGACAATGAAGAAGAAGAAGAAACTTGAAGAGAAGCTCCGCATGGCTCAGCTAGCTTCCACCACTGCTACTAAGCACCTTTAGCCCAAGGAAAAGATAGTGAAAAGCAAAGTGAGAAAATGGGAGGGAGAAGAAAGTGAATCAACCAAGTGAGTGAGAAAAGAGAGTGCAAGTGAGTGAAAGAGAGTCGGGAAAAGAAAAGATGGAAGGGGTCTCACAGTGCTCACTTTTTGCCTATCAACATTATGTTGTCCTTGAAGAAGCTTACAATTATATATTAGGGAGATAGTAAGGTTACATAGAGTACCTTCAGTATTATCTTGGATTGGGATCAAAGGTTCACTTTCAAGTTTTGGCAAAGCTTACACCAAGTCCTAGGAATAAAGTTGAGGTTGAGTTTTTCCTATCACCCATAGACAAATGAACAATCTAAGAGGACAATCCAATCCTTTGAATATTTTGTCAAGTGCTTGTGTTTTGGATCATTTGGTAACTTGGGAAGAAGTGTTACATTTGGTGGAATTCACCTGCAATAACTTTTTTCATGTCAGTATTGGAATGACATCTTTTGAAGCCCTTTATGTGAAAAGGTGTAAAACACCTTTATATTGGTATGAGGATGGTGAGTTAGTTATGGTAGGTCCATAATTGGTGTTATAAACTATAGTGAAGGTAAAGATTAAAGTCATATGTTGACAAGATGAGACAGCCTCTTGAGTTTGTTGAAAAAGAACATTTTTTTAAGTGACACCCACATCAGGAGTGGGAAGGGTGATAAAATCCAAGAAATTGACACCTAGATTTATTGGACCTTCTCAGATCCTTTATTGTGTATGTTGTAACAACCCAATTTTCACTAGGCCAAAAGCCCAATTAAGGTGGTTTAGTAGCCCGGAACGGGCCGTTCCAAAATTGGAATGGGCCGTTCCAAATTATTAAATAGACCTACTTTTGGTAGCCCAGAACGGGCCATTCCGAATTTAGAACGGGCCGTTCCAAACCATTAAATTTTCCTATGATTCCTAATTAAGAACGAGCCGTTCCAGAGTTGAGAATGGACCATTCAAAAATATGATCGTTGTGATTATTAAATGCACTCCAGAACGGGCCGTTCCGGTTTGAGAATGGGACGTTCTGGATGTGATTTTTACCCATGATTTAAGGGTCCAGAACGGGCCGTTCTAGATTGGGAATGGGCCGTTCCGGCGAAGCCTGATGCCTATAAATTGAGCTCTCTATCACTCCCAAAAAGCACACCTCTAATTTTCTGATTTCTTTTCTTCTGTTCTCTCTTCTTTCACTCTACTTTCTGCTTCAGACCGAGGAGAATCCAGCGGAGGAGATCAATCAGATCCTTAGTTTCAGCTACTGTTTATCCAGGTACGGGAGAAAAGGGGATTATTTATATGTAGAGTTACATGAGGGAATTGGGTAGAGGAAGAGCCCCTTAGGATTATGAGTAATTTTATAATTATTTCTGTTTGGAGAACTATTGGTCTTATGTGATTCTGTATATATTTAGGGCTACGAATATATGATTTACTTGTAAAAATGATGCTCTGGGAGAGAGAACGAAATTATAGAAAAGTGCCCGTAAGTTAGGTTTTGGAAAAATTGGATTATTTCTGTTTAGGTTTTGGAAAAATTGGATTATTTCTGTTTGAGGAATTAATGATTCCATTAGACTGTATATGTATTGAGGATTAGAAATATGCTAATAATTTGTACAAATGATGATTTGGTAGAGAGAACGAAATTGTAGAAAAGTGCCCGTGAGTTAGGTTTTGGAAAAATTGGGGGTTTTATTGCTTGGGTTAAGATTATATTAAATTGGCGATTTAATCTGGTTTTATATTAATTTATAAATATTATTATTACATGATTTGGTAAAGTTGATGATCTAGATGAGGATGAGGATTCATGGTAAATTACTTGAGGGGTATGTGAACCACTATTTTGTGTGGATTGTGTATATGTATTGTGGAATTGAGATGTGGATGTGGATGTGAATGTGATTGTGGTTCCTCACACTTGTGACTAGGGGTGGCACGACCTTAGACAAGAAATGCTACAGGCATGACCTTGGCATCGAATGAGATGGGTGATTCCTCATGCTTATGTCGGAGGTGACACAACCTCGAGCAAGAGATGTTGTAGGCGTGACCTTGGCACAATGTAGGAGTGTGATTTCTCATACTTATGTCGGGGGTGGCACGACCTTGGGCAAGAGATGCTACAGGTGTGACTTTAGCATAGGGTGGGATGTGTGAGGAAATTAATGTTTATGTCGGGGGTGGCACGACCTCGAGCAAGAGATGCTATAGGCGTGACCTTGACATAGGGTTAATTGTAAGATTTGTGTGGATTGTAATGGATTTGTTTGATTATGAATTGTGATGTGAAGATGATGAATGATTGATAGAATGATGATATATATATAGAAATGCTTGTAAATAACATTTCAAGTTGTGATAAGATAATGTTGTGGATTTCCTTGTGTACTTTATATATAAATGTTTTCTTTTCTCACCGTACAATTTGTGGATGTTTTAGGTGAGGAAGATCCGGCTTTGAGTGGCATCTAGAATGTCAACCGTTGAGTTGTGGGTATGCTCTGATATTGTGACATCGGGGCAGAGAAATCTAGGATAAATTTTTATATGTATTTAGAGTTATACCTTCTCTTTTGAAAGCAATTTGTAAACTCTCAAGTTTTACCTTTTAAATTTCATTTTTAATTATTTTGGTTATTTTTGAAGGTTTTATGTGAATCCTTTTACCAACGTTGAATATTT